TAGGTTTAGGATTTAGGGGAATGGAACTAGAGAACACTTTATCCTATACTGCGAGCCCAAGGTGGGAGCGGACGTTGAAGACGACAGCGCCCAGCGCAAACGCTCAACGTTATGATTTGTTTGTGCTGGCAATCATTCAGTCTTTCTTGAGGAATCGGGGAACTAAACCCCCCAAAATAACAACAACAATAAACGATAGTCAACTATAAAAGCAAAATAACAATTCCAATAATAGTCGAAGTAATTTGAATAGGTACTACTTGGATACTGTAGCATAATTACACTGCTTCTAGGCAATCTTCGGCCTCTGGCGCTCTGATGTCTCAGCTTTTCGGTCTGACTTCACTTGGCTGACTTCTGAACCCCTCCAAAAAGTTAAACTTTTGGTCTCCTCATTACATTTCATATAGAAACGCAAAAAGTTAGAGTCCAAAGAGCCAACCAGAAGAAGGCCAAGTTCATAAGAGGATTTGGGGGGACCCCGAAGGCTGTCATCCTTCATCGCGGCAAGCCCCGAAACAGGACTCGGTAACATCTAAAGAGCAACCCGTAGCTGGAAAGACCTACCTTCTTAGGGTTCCCTGTTATGGTTTCTATATCTAGCTCCTGAAAAAAATAGATCTTTTCGGTAACAAGAAGTGCTTGAAGCCTCTAAAAAGCCCGAGGCCGGAAACCAAAAAGGCTCCCGGATGCTTCCGAGTCACCGGATCGATCTTGGGACCGCCCTCCGCATGATAGGTCTCCACCTCGAGGGGCTTCGGGCGTGAGCTAAGGTATGTGGGTCTTAGGTTCAAAGTTTTCTGGTTTCTTCTTAAGGGCTTTAATTGAAATTACTATGTAGTAAGTAATGTGGTTTCCTTAATGTCATAACATAGAATGTTGGATCCCTTAACAAGAACCCAGCTTTGATGCTTTTCGCGTTCACACTCGGAGAATCCAGGCGAGGCATGCGGTCTTGAGTCTGCTGAGTGAAACAGCGAAGGGAGCAGCTTCAGAAACAAATGGGGGGTTTCCGAAAATAGGGGGACCCTAATATAGTACCCTAAATAGTAGGATCCTTATTATAAGGACCCTAAATTAAGGCACCCTGTATTTTGGTAAACTCCCAAATCTCAGTACAGACGGGTTTTGGGCATCGGGTGCAAAGCTCACCTTCGAGATTATCTCTGAGCTCCGGAAAGGGCCGCCTTCTCGTTTTTTGGTTCCACCCCGAAAGCACAGCAGGAGGTCTTCTCAACTCCAAGGTTCCGAACCCTAACACAATACCATAAGCCTAAACCCTAAACCCCAAACCCCTAAACCCTAAACCCATAAGCACCAAGACTATCTATGCGCTTCATTCAGGATAGCAGGGCCAAGAGATTTCGCACAGCGAGCTTGGGTCGATCAGCGGAGCTCACAGGAACAGGCTTCTTGAGACATCCAAGGTGCGGTGACGTTTCTGTGTATCTTGTCTGAAACTTAGTTGCTGAGTTCACAGGCCCAAAATATTTGAACCTTCAGTTCTATATAGAGGTTATATTATCCCAGGGAACCTCATTGCTCGTGAGCTAGCAAGCGGAAGCCCCTAAAGCAACCCCTGAGCATCGACCCCTTCAGCCTGAGCCTCTTAACCCTAAGTCAACCCCAAACCCCGAAACCTGTCAACCCCTTAATGCCGCTTACAGCTGGCTATGCATATGCCAGGAACCGAGCCCTTAACCTAGTTAAGCCCTAAACCCCCAAATGCGAAGCCCAAGCCTTGAAGCACCAGACGGCCAGCCTTAATCCACAGGGGTATTTCTCTAAATGAGGGGGTCCCTTTTGATGTCCCCACCTTTATATAACGGATCCCGAAAGGGACCCTACTTACCCACAAACAGAAACCGAGACCCCCGGCGAAGGTGTCCACGTAGAAGCGGAGGTTGTCGCGGTTGTTGTCCTTGCGGCTCCCGGCTCCCAGAGAACCCAACACCCCTTAATCAAGGAATATGCCTTAAATTATGGGGGCCTTAATAATATGATTTAAGGATATTCCTGAACTAAGAAGGGGTATTGGGTTCTCTGGGCTGGTATTCCCGGGAGCCCTTAAGCTGGCCGTGTTATAGGGTTTAGGGGTTTAGGGTTTTAGGGGTTTAGGGGTTGAGGGGTTAGGGGTTAGGGCTTTAGGGGTGTAGGGTTTAGGGTTTAGGGCAGTGGCTTCAGGATTTTTTATGGGGTATCTAGGTCAGAGTCGCGCAGAAAGCGGGATCTTTGCTTGAGGACAGACTTGGAGCTTTCGGCTGTTCAGCTCTGAAGATGAAGCATTGCCCGTTTCGGGTTTGGGGTTTAGGGTTTAGGGTTCAGGGTTTTCTGCTAACTGCGGTGCGGCTTGCGGAAAGGCGTTGCAGGCCGGGCGTCTCGGCTCCGCCGAGCATGCGCAGTACAACCAGCTAAGTAGGCAACTAGAAAGCTTCCAAGGCTTAAGGTTTAATGTCTAATTACTTGGGCTGAGGATATAAGGTGCAAAGCTTTTTGGAAAAAAGGTTTAGGGTTTACGCTCTCACAACTCGGACATGCCAGGCCAGGTTCACAGGTGCGGGTCGGCATGACACTAAGCTAAGTCTCTGACCACGACGAACAAACACAAGCAAGCCAACATCAAGCTTACGACAAAACAGACCTTTAGGGTTTTTGTTGACACCTTTGTCCGACTGCAGAAGTACCTTTTGGGTTTATAAATTCAAGGTTAAACACCGCAGCTGACCTCGAAGCACTTTCTTGGCCTTAGGGGTGTGTTCGGGAGGCTTGGGGTACAGGCCTGCAGCAGGCCCTGAGATCTCCCCTGAGAGCCCAATACCCCTTAAATAGGGAATATAGCTTTTTTAGGGTTCAGGGTTTAGGGTTTAGGGTTTCTTAAATCCTAATATGAAGCCGCTTATAGTTAAAGCTATATTCCTTAGTTAGGGTGTATTGGGCTCTCTGGGTCTGGCTTCAAAGCAGCACTACAGTCTGAAGTCCACGGTCCTCCAATGCTTAAAGCAGAACCCTAAACGTCCATGTATTCAAATAGATATACTTTGGCCTTAAAGCAGTCCCTATTTGGGTACTTTGGGGCCCAAGCATCTACTATTTGGGCACATGGACCCTTGGGGGGAAGCGCAATCCGCCACGCCTAATTACATATCCATCCTGATGCCCCGAAGGGCACGGGCATCTGAGCCCCCGAGCCCACTCAGCGCAGTTGATGTACCAGTAGAGCTTGTGCCCAACACCTCGGAATGGGTCGGACTAAACGCTAAAACCCTAAACCCTAAACCCCAAACCCTAAACCCTGCGATCCTGACATCTACAAACAACAGAATAAACCCTGGATCCTGCAACTCAGCTCGACACCCTGACCGCCCGAACTCGGAAGCCCTGGAGAAAAGAGTAAAGCTCGAACAGAGGTCGTAGGATTTCCATCCGGGTTTAGGGTTTAGGGTTTGACGGGGTCTGCGGCATTGACTGGACCGGCTATCAGCGTCTAAACGCCGCATCTAATGTCGCCAACTACTTCGAAAGTGGGAGGAGGCTGCTGCTTCAAGACCGGGCTCCACTGTGACCCTATTATTATCGGCAAGGTACCAATTTCTTCTATGGATCAGTTCTAGGCAAGAGATCCCAACATTTAGGGAAACACATACATGCACTACCCTAGACCAGGAACCCTATCTCCAACGAAAACCCAAGACTGTTCTTGCGACCTTCTTGCGCCAAAGCGGCAGGCGGATCCAAAACCACCCCAATCAAGAACTCCACAATCCTCGACAGGGATGTTAGCTTCTATGTTCCAGTGGATTACGCTCTTGCAACTCGGACTCCGGTAGACGAGGTCTCTTGGCAGGTCAGTTCACTACGTTGGGGCTACTTTGGTGCGGATCACTACCCATAGGCTCCATAGTAGTTCCTTTTTGGGATTGGCGTATAGGATCCAAAATATAAACCACAAAACAAAAAGGAACTACTTTGGAGCCTATGGGTAGTGGCTTACGGGCTTAAGCCTTTCGGGGGCTTCGGGCTTCTGGGGGTTTTTGGGTTTCGGTCTGACGTCGCGGACATGAACAGTATGTTAAGCCGCTGTTACGAGGTCCGTTACCAGAATTCTCTGATTAGTGCAAGCGAAGCAGTGTTTCATGGCATGCTGGGGCTCAGCCGAAGTCGTGTTCAACAGAGCCGCAGTTTGAATCCTTTCAGTACTCCTCTCCTGCCGGCCCTGAGATATGTCCTGCATACAGAGGACCACAACACTTCAAAAACGGGCCTATCGATTTTTTTCCGTCTGTTTTGTGTCTTTTCCCCCCTCTGGTTGTCGTTTTGGGTCTTCTTCTAACCTGCCTCGCCGGCGCTGTCGCGACTCTTCGTCCTTGGAGCCAGCAGAATCAAGACCCATGGTGATTGCCCACGGAACTTTTGCCTGTGCGACCTGTTTGGGTCACCTTTCCACCTGTCCGGGCTTTGCATTCCTGGCTGCACGCGGCCACGAACTCCTTTTGTCCCCTCCCGTCTCCCCCGTCAAGGTTTTGTTCCTGCTTTCCGTGCGTCTCTCATCAGCAGTGATGCGGTCCCCTTCCCTCCTGTCGTTGGAGCAGGCACAAAAAAACTCCCCCCCTTTCCAATATTGGCACCCAGGCCCCCTGGTCTTGCAGCCAACCCCCCCCCCCTCCGCCTGCAATGTGTTTTGTGCAAGTAGCTTTTTCCCCACACAACCTGGCTCTCTTGACCCCCGCCCCAGCGCAGGTCCTTATCTGGTGGCCTGGGTCTTCGGTGTCGTCCGGGAGCCAATAAAAACCGCCGATAAAAAAGAACAACCCTTCGAAGACCGGCCGCCAGTTCTCAGCCTGACAGGGTTTAGGGTCTAAGATCCAACGACGTCCTTTATGCAACAGAAAACCCCTAAAGCCACTGCTCGGAACAAAAATAACACCTGACAGTCCTAAAACACAAACTCCAGGGCACTAGCTCTGCCCGAAAACTGGGAGTTGCATGTTTGGCACAGGCACCAGCTTGCCATGCTCATCTCGCCAGAAGTAGGCATTGTCTACCTCAGTTACTTCGTCACAACACTGATCCAGCACGAGGTTGAGCTGTGCAATCAAGCTTTGGGATTTGGCTCCAAGACAGTGGCTTCGCATCTGTACACCCCTATCTTCGGATCACAAAACTTCAGGGCACTCCCTCATCACCTCTACCATCATCAGGCTCATCGAACCCCCAGTAAGTACCTAAATGCCCTAAATGCCCTGAACCCCTGAACCCTAGACTCCAAGGAACTTCCGGGCTTGAGCTTGTCCTAAACCCAACGAGAGCCCGGCCTCAAGGCCAGGGCTGGTTTATGCTTTCGGACTTACAAACTGCTTTAGGGTGCGTTCGGACGCACAAGCGAGTTCAGGGTTGAGGGATTTCTGGTATTACGGTTTAAGGTTTTAGCAGAGTTCAGGGTTTCTCTGACGCACGGAGGCAATGCCTAGGCCCTAAGCCGAGCCACGTTGAGGTTGGCGTGGCCCAGAGCGATGAAGTCATGATCCAAATGCTTCCAGTAATCAATCTCCCGGGCATAGGCTTGAAAGGTCATCATGGTCCTGCAGATCTTACTTGTCCAGATCATAATTTTAAGGCTTTTGGGTCCAAAGACCCTATTATGTAACGCTTTTGGGCTATTTTGATGCTAAGGGTAAGCGAACGAAGGATTATCGGTCGGGGTTCTGCTACCCGTGTAAAGGGTTGCTCGCTGGACTACTGAGACTCAACACTTGGACATGCGCATTCTTCCACAACATATGATTACTGTAAGGGAGTTAGAATAGCATGTTGGGGCATATTATGCTATATTAAATATACTCAGGAAGCGAGTCGGACTTCGGCCCTTGCGGTCACTCCTGCATGTTCTGACCTACACTGTTCCGTTGCGGCTTCCCTGTTGGCGCTATATTAAACATGACCATTGTTAATCATGACCTGGGTGTATTATAACAAAAATATAAAGTTCTATCCAACAAGGACCCAGGTTAGAGGCCGCTACTTCTCGTGTGGTGAAGTATATAGTACTACTAAAATGACTATAATGGCACTCGGCTTGTGAAGTCTTGCATGCATCCGTACGCCAAGAATCGGGTCTGACTTTTTGCATTACGACACCCCAAGCCCCAAGAGCCTGGGTCCTACAGTTGATGATATGAATCCTGCATTAATTACCCATAATAAGGTATATACCATAATTCCCATGGTTTCGGGTTCTTAAGGTAATGCAGGATTTCGATCATCAACAGTAGGTGCCATTCGCTGGGTCCTCGTAAACTTTTCGATGTAGGCATCGCTTCGGACATAGTCCGGAAACATCCTCAAAGGCGAAGGATGGGCATGAAGAGTCGGAACATCTGAGCCGAGAGCTATGGCTGTCTCCATCGCCATCACAATCAGCGAGCTTCGGGTTTAGGGCAGTTCTGGGTCAAGCGACCCATAGATTCCACCTGTGACCAGTCCTCAACTATCCTCAACTAATGGTCGGTCAAGTCCAGAAACCAGCCAATCGCTCGAGCTAACAAAACAACCAACGGGTCAAATAAAAAGACGAGTCAAGCAAACCACCAAGCAGCTAACCAAGCGATCCCTCAAGCAATCAGTGACCACATCCTTCTCATCGCCCCTGTCATCTTCCCCCGTCATTCTCCAGCACCCCCTTGAACTCTGCAACATCACAAAGCGAAGGGGCATGGACGCCGTCTTCGAAAAGAAGCGGATCCCAACTTTGAGCTTCTGCATTGTAGCCTGCCGCTTCGTGCTTATGGCTCCCAATTCTCATAGGGGGTCAGGGAGCTGTGGGTGCTGTCGCAAGCAAGCTTTCCACGAACCCCTAAACTGAAGACCTTTTGCACAAACCCGGTGTCAACAACACAGGACGATTCTTTTCTGAAGCTCTAAATCTCAGAAGCCCTGAACCTTATAGTCTAGACCCCTCACTAACAACCCCTTTGCGTGAGGACTCGCGTGTCATCCCAAGTGTAACCCTTGTTAAGGCAGAAGAATGCTTGTTTAATCAGCAGTGTAAGTAACTGTGGCCCTCCCAGAAGCCTAAACCCTAAACTGACGACCGCCTGCGCCGAATCACCAGAGGGCCCGTAGAAGTTTACGCCGAAGTCAGCGGGCGACGTGCTGACCTGTGCAGTTTGGTGTAGGCTGGCTCCAGGTTCAGGGCTTAACTTTCCTGGGCTCTTGTTAAGGAGTCTAATTTAAGTTACCATAATAGAGATCTATAGTAACTAGTATGGTTTCTTTGCTATGGTATCTTAAATTTAAACTATATAAATCCCTTAACAAGAACCCAGTTTCCTGAGATCCGGAGCCCGTTTTTCTGTCTTCGGCTAAAAAGGTTTTTGGTTCCGGTCCGGGGGTCCAGATCACAAAAGGGTTTAGCGCTTTACTGTGCCCGAAACAAACTAAAAGCCCTTCTCCAACCCTAAACCCTAACCCTGCGATTTGAGATTCGATGCCTTCGTCTTAGGATCCATGGTACAAATGCCAGGAGCGCCAAACAACAGCCCTCAGCTACGCCTGCAGAACACACCTAATGTTGCAGCCTGAAGATATGTTGATGCCTTCATAATTAGAACAGGGTGTTGGAGGATAACCAACTATAGTTACATAAACTACCAGCACTGATTCCCACACCTCTACTAGGTATAAACAAGGTTTACGGGGCGGGCATACTTTTGACTAGGTTCCACAGTAGCCCCTTAAAAATAAGGGTACCCTTTTTCCTACTATTTGGTTTTACTAGGTCAGCCGAAAAACAAAAAGGGCAAAAGGGTACTACTGGGGAACCTAGTAAGGACCCTAAACCCTAAACCCAAGATCCTAAACCTTAGATCCTAAACCCTAAACCCTGAACCCCAAACCTTAGATCCTGTATACTGTTGATGTGTTCCAGAAATATTTCGGAGGACGCCTTCTAAATGCCGACCAAGGGGCAGGAGGCGCCCCAAAGTTCCTCAGATCACTTTTTTCCCTCAGATCACTTTAGGGTTTAGGGTTTTAGACCAGTCTCAGTTAAGGAGTTTAGGGGTTGAGGGGCTATGGGCGGAAGAGAGTGAAGGTTTAGAGTTTCGAATCTTGACTTTGGGGAGTGGTCTAGTCTATGATAGTCATAGTTCACTTTGCTATATCATACTTCATTATAGTATTGAAGAGTAAGTTTTTGTGCAGGGATTTCAGAAGCATCGGGCTCTCTGGGCTACTTGCCGGGTCCCAGTTTCCCAACCGACCCCGCGACCCGTTTCGAAGCTGATCTTGATCGAATAAACCCTAGGCCCTCAACCCTCCAAACCCGAAGCCCTTAAACCCTAAACCCTAAAACCCTAAAGCCCTAAACCCTAAACTTTCATGCTCAACAACTTGATTGAAAAATCAGAACGACATCGATGTCGCATGCATGCGCGAAGGCCGCGTGCGAAATTTATGACGTCGTCTGGGGCGGTTGATCGTATGGCTGGTAGCACGGTGTTTCCCGATCTCCTTCTTCCCTACACAACCTCCTGAGTATGTGCTAGCAAATATCTGTGCGCAAGTTAAGGTGCTACCCTGCTACCCTACGTGGGTTCTCCTGTATGCAGCGTGCTACTGTTGTCGATGTTTGGCGCTTTCATGCCCAACAGCTTGACAAATCAGCACGACATCGATGCCGCATGCATGCGCAGAGGTCGTGCGCGAAGTTTATGACGTCTTACCACAAGTTCATAGGGATTTTTCCACGGCGGTTGATCGTATGGCTGGTAGCACCGTGTTTCCAAAATTCTTCTTCTATACACAACTTCCTACAGATTGTGCTATCAAACATCTGCGTGCAACTTAAGTTGCATTCTTCGGCTACAACTTAACTTCCGCGCGATGTCAAGCCGATCCGAATCTCGGCATTGATCGTAGTGCTTGCGATTGCGCTTTCTGTCTTTGGTAAAACTGAATACACAACGAACCGCGTCAGGCTTGGCACGCCTTAAACCCTAAGCCCCTAAACCCTAAACCCCTAAAGCCCTAAACCCTAAAACCTAAAGCCCTGAACCCCTCAACCCCTAAAACCCCTAAAACCCCTAAACCCCCAAAACCCTAAAACCCCTAAACCCCTAAAACCCTAAAGCCCTTTTTTTGAGCAGGGACTGCAATGCACTAAGCCCTGAAAATCTTCAACCCTAAAGCCCTACAGCCCTAAACCCCTAAACCCCTAAAGCCCGAAACCCCTAACTCCTAAAGCCCTAAACCCCTAAAACCCTGAAGCTCTAAAACCCCTAAAAACCCCTAAAAACCCCGAAAACCCCTAAAAACCCCGAAAACCCCTAAAAACCCCTAAAACCCCTAAAACCCTAAAGCCCTGAACCCTTAAGCTTTAGGACTAAAGCCCTAAAACCCTAAAACCCTAAGACCCTAAGACCCTGAACCTAAACGTGACTGCAATGCACTGAGCCCTAAACCCCGAAATAAAGCCCTAAAACCCCTAAAAACCCCTAAAAACCCCTAAAAACTCCAAAACCCCTAAAAACCCCTAAAACCCCTAAAACCCCTAAAAACCCCTAAAACCCCTTAAAACCCCAAACCCCTAAAACCCCTAAACACCCCTAAAACCCCTAAAACCCTAAAACCCTAAACCTTCAGCCCCGGCTCGATGCGAGGAAAGACTTGGAGCCCATTCGAAAGGACTTGTCCGCTGCCGCTAACTTGGCACCTTCAAGTTTAGGGTTCAGGGGTTTAGGGGTCTAGGGGTTTGGGGAGTTTAGGGAGTTTGGGGTTCAGGGGTTTAGGGCTAGGGCTTTTTGCTTTTTTTTTTGCACGGCCCTTTTCCACTCGCTGTAGGTTTTAAGGCACCTTCGAGGCTTTTTAAGGGGTCTCTTTCAAGGGTCTTTGAAGGGATTAGGGCCAGGTTTAAGGGTTTAGAGCGTCTTTAAACGGTTCTGTATGGGTCTTTTAAAAGCTTGAAGGGATGCTAAGGCTGTTAGGCGTTAGTTTAGGGATCTGTAAGCATTCTACGGTCTCGGGCTTTGGGTTTACGCGGTTGGGGCCTTGAGCTGTGAGGTTCAGGGCTTCGGACTTGACGGGTTGCGGTTCACCTTTAAACGGTTGATGATCTAAATCCTGCATTATACCCATATACTAAGGAATATACCATCGTTCCCATAGTTTAGGGTCCTTAAGGTAATGCAGGATTTATATCATCAACAGTAGGAATAGCTGCCTGTGAGTTTAGGCACACCAGCGAAACTGAACACCGGGATAAACAAGCTACTTGCAGGATTTGGTCTTCGCGTCAGTTTGGGCATGAAGGTGAAACTGAAGAAGACTCTGCCGGTGCAGAACCCTGCTGTTGCAGGGTGCAAACAAGTTGGAGATTCTATATCAGACAGGCCCATCTTCAACCCTTGAACCGTAAACTCGACCGGGCGGCTGAATGCGATTTAAGGAAGAATGACAGAACTGCAACATTGGAGGTGCAAACTAAGCATTCTGCACCCTCAGGGGGCCCTCAACAAGTAGCATCGGGTTTTTGGTGTGTACCCTAGTGCAACGGTACTAAGCTTCATTCTATTATCAGCTCGTCTGACAAACTGGGCTTCTGGCTCATCTCCATGATGAGCGTGTAGTACTCCTGGCCGGCTAGCTGAGAGCCCTTCCTCGACCATGCTGGCCCGGAAGACTTAAACTCTAAACCCTAACCCTACAACCCGCATGCCCAGAGAACCCAATACCCCGTAATTAAGGAACATACCTTAAAATATCGGGACCTGAATAATATGATTTAAGGTATATTCCTTAATCAAGGGGTATTGGGTGCTCTGGGTGAGGGCTTTTTGAAGGTCTATGAAGGTCCGCTTTTCCGAGACTCTCTTAGGGTGGCCGATGTAGATGAAGGTTCCGGCGCGCAAGCGGGTGCTCGTATGGGGCGTCCTCCCAACACCGTATCAACCATCCCAAAAAACCCTAAACCCTAAACACCCCCAAAACCCGAAAAACCCTATAAACCCCCAAGCCCTTACATCTCTCATCGCCCCAAGATCCAAACCCCGAAACTCCAAACTCGCTGAATGCTAAACTCCCCAGCTCCAGCATCCTGAAAGCCTGAAAAACTCATAATAAAGGAAGCCGATTAAGAAACCCTGGGTCTTTATTAGGGTTCTTCATATTATGAATCCTAATATGTTGCGGTTCTAGGGCCAGGGGTTCGTAATCAGGTTCCTACATTACTCCCTAAACTCTGAGCAGCGCCTTTTTGTCTGCGCTTCACTTTTGGGGAGTCACTGCACTTTAGACCCATAGAGCCCTTAAGACGGGAAGCCTCCAAACTACAAGCAAATCTG